ATTCACTGTGGGCAGTGTCTGTGTCTGGATTTTCAGGGCATTCCCTGTGGGCAGTGTCTGTGTCTGGATTTTCAGGGCATTCACTGTGGGCAGTGTCTGTCTCTGGATTTTCAGGGCATTCACTGTGGGCAGTGTCTGTGTCTCTGGATTTTCAGGGCATTCACTGTGGGCAGTGTCTGTGTCTGGATTTTCAGGGCATTCACTGTGGGCAGTGTGTGTCTGTGTCTCTGGATTTTCAGGGCCTTCACTAGCATCATTTGCTTGTACTGTGGTCCCTCATACAATCCTGTTTTTGTCAAGAACCTTCAAGATGTGCCTTCCTGATAAAATTCCTGATGTTCCATTAACACAGCCTAGTTGAGCATGTCCCAGTTCATGGGTCACTGAACTCCAGAGAACAGTCTCTCAGCTGGCAGATGCACATACAGTGGTTATGAGTGTTTATTGTGGCATATCACTGGTATGAGATCGAGATTACTGTACTACTGTCTTACAGATTAGTCAGCAATCACATTTCTTGTCTGGAAATAAGGGATAACTACATGACCAATAAGGGACAGTACTTTCTTTTGAAGGATATTTTAAGGGAAAATCAGTTGCCTTCACATACAGTTTTTGCACAAGACTTCTCAAGCTTTTCAGCCGTGACCACAATTGATAAAACAAGACACTTTATTCCAGTGAATATTTAGCCCCTTACATAAGTAAAATTATATGCAGATACCAAACAGCTGAACATAGAGAGCGATGGTATTTGCATTTCTTCTACTACTTAGACTACAACCGTTTCCGATGTATCTCATCGCATTTCACTGGCACTTGAAAAGAAAAAAGGGATGTAAATTAATGTCTGTACTGTCAAAGTACTGAAAAAAGTCAGCCTTTGTGATGTGATAGGAGAGGAACAGGTCAGTCTAAAAAGATTAAAAAATTAAATATTTGGATGAAAGTCTTCCAAAAAAGAATATGTATAAATCTTTTCACCATTTCTGCCAAATTTTCATGTTTTTTGTTTCAGCATCAGTTCTCACTGCTCAGTTTGCCAGCCTGTCTGCAAAACCAGCAAACAAGCTGATTCCAAAGCTCAAATAGGGCAGCTGGTGGCTCACCATCCAGGACAGTTCTGTCCCACAGCTGCAGAGGCTCTAAGATGTATTTAGATTGTTAAAACAACATATTAATTAACCGCTTCTTCCCTCTGCTTTGGACATACAAACTATCCCACTCCTGGTTTGCATGGGGCACACGGTGTCAGCATTCACTCCTGAAGCCCTTTTGTATCTGTCCCTTCTGTAACCAGCACTGCTCATTCACCATCAAGGTGAGACTCCTGCCTCTCATTAGCACCCATTGCTCAAATATTAATTCTTATACCATTCTGGAAAGGATTCCTAGAGTAAACCATTATTCATTCTCAAAGCTTTCTGAAAGTGGAAGTTCTTCTGCAGGGACTCCACAGCTAGGTAGGGTTGTAGGGTGGCTGGTTAAGTGTGTGATTTAGTCTTGCTGATTCCCAGTTGCATTTCCTTGTTTCTCCATACTTACGGTAACATTTTTAATCTCTTTTCTTGTACTTAGCTTATAAACTTTTTGTTACTGAGATATTTAATTATTTTTACTTTTCACACTATGTACTGATTTAATAACATAGATCTCTAGGTGTTGCTGTCAAGTGTATCTGATAAGTTATTTAAATATGCTCGAGCAGACCTTGAATTAGAGGCTCTTTTTGTCCTTGTATAGTCATTACTTTTTAGAGGAGCATTTAAAGTTGCTTTCAGACTAGGAACTAGGAAAGAGTTTAACTCTTCCTGTGCTGGGCTCGACAGCACAGCACATCACATGTTATAAGGTGTTTAACAGCACTGTGTGTGGTAAATGTTCTGGCTGCAGCACAGGTAGATCAGTCTGGATCACAGCGCCAGTGCTTCAGTGGTGTTCACTGTGGGTGTCTGGATAACTTGGTGACTGACAGGTACCTCTCCTGGCTCCCAGTAGCTGTGATAATCAATACTCTGTTTTTTAAAAAATACAAATGGACAAGAGCTTCTGCACATGTATTCTGGTAATCTCTACTATATTTGAAAGAGTCATTTCTCCCAAGCCTGTTAGAACAGGTGTGTTCCCCGTGAACCTGAACAGTCCTGGCTATTCTGTGTCTTATTTTTTTCAGATTAATCGTGCCCCAAGCTTTGGAACAGATCAAAAAATAGACTATGATGTAAAAAGAGGTGTTCTGCTGAATGCATTACAACTTCTCAACATACGGTAACTTGTCCCCTTTTCTTCAGTCTGGAAAGGTTCTTTGCTTTGATTTTTTTTATTTTATTTGTTTTTAAACTTGAATTGGACAGGGAGAAAATGAAGACCTTTTTTTTCCCCTTCGTATTTTCAAAATGTAAATGTTTCCCTTGCTGTCAGTTTTGCTATAGAAATAACCCAAATTAAATTTTTCTTCTTGAATATGTGTTTGCAAAAAAAAAAAAAAATCATAGCAATAGTAATTGTTGTACATTTTAAAAAAAGCATTTTTCAAAGAGGTCTCAGAGTTGGGATATGTGTGCCGTCCTGGGCATGGTGATAGTGTCAGATACAGTCAAAAGCCATACCCCTCTACAGGAAAAGTTTGTAGCTGGGATATGCTGGAAAAAAGCTACACTTCAGGGAAATAGAAGCAACCATGTTTGTACATTAAATTATAGC